AAAAAATTACTCAAGTAATACTAGTTTACAACATTATATAACAGCATTACAGCTGAACTTCTGTATGTACATTAAGATAACCACCAAAAGTCTAGTTTCTACCCACCACCATAAAATCACTTTAACAATTTTGCCTGTCCCACAATCCCCTTTCCGTCTAGTGTCACTGCTTTATCTCACATCCTAAGAACTTGTCTTTGCTTTGTTTGTCCATTTGTTTTGCTATTTTTTGAGTTTAGCAAACTCGAAAAACTTTGAGTACAGCTTTATATTCATCATGTGTATATACTGGATCATCATTACCACCATAGGTTTAGTTTCCGTCCCACACTGGAACTAAGCAATATAATTGACCCCCTTTATAAGATTTGATTCCACATTTTAATGAAATAATGTGGTGTTTGTTTTTCTGTATTTGACTTATTTCATTTAGCAGAATGCCCTCAAGTTCCATCCATGTCACAAATGACAACATTTTCTTTTCTCTTAGGACTAATAGTCTTTAATGTATGGATGTGCCTGTTTCATGTATGTATGTGTTGGTGAACAGTGATTGTTTCTCTGTTTTGTAAATAATGCTGCATTGAACATGGTGGTACAGATACCAAAGAGATTTAGTGTTTTCATTTTCTTTGAGTATATGCCTAGAAGTTTAATTTCTGTATGGCACTTGTATTTTTAATTATTTGAGAAGCTTCCATGTTATTTTCCATATTCCTGTACCCATATTTAATTTAAAAATTATTTTTCATTAAAAAAATAGTTGTGTGTGTGTGTGTGTGTGTGTGTGTGTGTGTAGAAGAACTGGTGGACAAGACAGGAGAGGGCTGTAGTCTGCTCCACCATATGTGGGTCAGCTTCCTGACTGGGCATCAAACTCAGGACTTAGTGATAGCACTGAGACTTAACCCCTGGGCCACCAGGGAGGACCCCTCAAATATAAATTAATTTAATAATTTACAGGTAATCTCACACAGCAGCAAAGCTTTTCTAGATTGCTGTAGCATTGAATAAAGTTCAAATGTTGCAGGGCTTCCTTTTATTGTAAATATAATTTCTTCTCTGTGCACTCACAAATATAACAAAGTACTGTGCATGGTATTTAATAAGAACGTGTAAATTTTACCCAAACTTTGTTCATTTTTATTACAATATTAAAAACTGTTTAATAGTAAACTATTGAATTTACAATTACAAAACAGCACACACAACTTAGAAAAAAATTTGCAAGGTACGAGAACAAAATTCAAAGTAAGTCTTAATTATTTTAAACAAATGCCAAGCTAAAAATATTGGATAGTGATAAGCTGGTACTTTTGAAGGAGAAAGCACTTTATAATGAATAGGTATGTTGCTCAAAGTGAAAAAGCCAAAAGTAGACAAAAGCATTGCAAGTGGTTCTTAGATGTCACACATGTAACACATTTCATCAGTTTAAAACACTGAGTTTACATTATCATTTTTTTAAAGATTTATTTATTTATTCATACAGAACTGGGGTACAGGCCAGAGATGCAGAGGGTGAGAGAATTTACCAGAGACAGAGTGGGGA